ATATGTAAATCCTTTTGTGGGCGCTTCCTGGCACTTTCTTGTGAACTGCACCCATTTATTGAGGTTTAACTATGGCATTACTGTTCATGTAGTGGTAAGTTTGAAAACTCTGCAAAATAAGTTCCATGGTCTGATAAGCTGTGAAATTTTACTGAGCCAAATCAATTTGTGGAGAATTTAAGGCCATGAGACAATTTTAACTGGCGCATTCCGTTGTGTGATACAATAGAGAATGGCATCGTAAAAGTAAGAACAAAAACAAATGGTTTTGTGGGTGCAAGGACATAAGATGCATGGAAATAATCTCGCGCACCTGAAAACTCGCGCGCTCCTTAAATTTCATCCATTGCAGACCCGAGACCTCATTCTCGTTACCAGTCCTTTTTATTTTTGGTCGCCAAACCAGAGCAACCGAGTTGCTCTGAGAACGAGAAAACAGAGACATCATTTTCTTTGATATTTACGGACCTGCAGTGCTTAAGAAAGAATGCGCACTGAGAAAAGGGACTGCTTATAGCGTATATGAATTTTAGTTTCTGTCGTACCCTTAGAATCAAGCTCTTCGTCTCGATTCGCGTCAAAAGCTACCACATATCGGTTAGCAATCAGTATAGAGATATCAAGTCCTTCCGCCAACTCAACTGGTGAAATACCACCATCTCCAACTGTGTCAATAGTTTCAAATGTACCATCCTGAAGAGATTTAAAAGTTTGTATAGTTTCTAAAAAAATGTGGTACTGTGTCGGGGAGGGGGTGTGGGAGGCTGGTTTTGGTATATTCTGAAACAGTGCATGGCATTGAGGATGTGCTCTGACTGGCTACTCAAACTTAATTTGAATATCCTTTGCTACTTATCTTCCAGCAACTCACGCAGAATATGCGCCCAAAAATGTTACATTCGTTGCAGGAATGAGTGAGTTATAATCATCTTTAAGTGTCGTATTATCTTACTGTTTAATTGATGCCTAAACATTTGTAGATCTGTAAATATCCACTGGTACCCACCCCTACTTCGGTCGATAGTTTATAATTACCAAGTGAGTTGCCCATGTAAATCAGCTTCCGTAAAGACTTTTCAAAGCTGAGGTTCTGAGCTTTGGCTCTTGGCTCTGATTCTCTAGTGGCGAAGGGCAAACGCTCCAAAGGTCAGCTTTAGAAACTCCTTCTGGCGGCTGATAGATGCTAACTCAGTAGACGTAAAAATAGCTGTTACACAACCTTTCAGACCCCCATCCTTCTTTATCAATACCCTGAGGGAATTTTAGTTTCCCTTCCAGATCCTAGATCCTAGAGTCCCCGTTTCTTCTGGTAACTGATCATAAAAGTGAAAACAAGTGGACACGGGTCGCCAATAGAAATAGTGCATTCACTGAGCATGTGCATTATTGGTATCTTATTTCCCGGCCAACGATGCAAAGAGCAAAGACATCAGCATTTTCAAAAGTTCCACAGCGCCTTGAAATACATCCACTTCGAGGTTTGTTTAGTTTTTTTTTTTAACAAAGCAAAACAAAGTAAAACAGTTTTGGACAAATTCAGCCAATTCTGAATCCCCTCCTTGCTAATTCTTTTATTCTTCTCCTGAGATAGATGGACACGCCCTCAATGTTAAGAAATGTACGATAACTTACCTCATAATTATCAATCTCTCTTTCGTCCGAAGTCACGACTGGCCTCCCANAGTGTGAAGTATTTTCGCAAGTCTAAAATGGAGGCTTCCCTTTTCGACAGTCTCATTAGAGTCTCTATAAGGGTGTAGGAGTTCCCTGAGGTATTTTGCCTCACTTGCGTAGTCGTTTATGACTTTGTACGCGGTTGTAATTGTGATGTAGATAACAAGCAAACTGTTGTTGGCCAATGAACGATCCATAGTCTGCGCCTGACTGTGTAGTACTATCAAACATTCTTTGCATAACTCCTTGCATAACATAAGTGTTAAGAAGGAAGTTAGCTACTGTGTAACTGAACGGGTCCACTACCATCTCGGTCCTCTTCGTTACTGCTGCAAAAATGAAAAAAACAAAGAAATGACAACTCAGGCGAGTAATTCAAACCATTTTTGATCGATAGTTGCTAGATCGGGAAGGTTATTAAATTTGTCATTCTAACATACATGGTTCAGCTCGCTTAGTACGCGCGGTTTTATACCCGTTAAAACGTTTGAGGGCTTGAGCGAGTTTAATTGGCGAGAGGTCAGTTGTTGGTCAGTCAGATCTCTTGAAGACCTCTCGCTTGCCCTATTTGCTCAATTCAAGGCCTTGCAATCCTCTCGCAGGCGAAGAAACGTCGTTATATTAGTATGGCTTTTGTTTACTATCTGAAAAAGAAAATGTAAATTAACATACAGGGCACCTGATTAGCTCGCTATATGATGGACCCATAATACCCTCCTCCATTTTTTTATGTTTTGTTTTGTAATTTTTTTGTAATTATTCTGTCAATGGGTACAAATAAAACGTTGGTGCTGCATCGCTAATGACGAGGGCCTGATTACATGCTAATCAATAGCTATCGGGGGGCTCTCAGAGGTATGAAGAAGGTCATGGGCTCGAAACTTTATCCGAGACGGCCAAATTTGTTTTCTGTCATGTTCACGTCTACGAAATTCTTCACGTTTAGTTTGCTTCGCCATTGTCAGAGACTCGGTGTTAATTATCAATCGATTATTTAATTCTTCATTTTCACAGCACTAGAGAGTGAGTTTCCGAATTTCTGTATTAAATAGAGCATATTCGTTGACTGAAATAATCATTTTGAAATGGATTGAATTTTTATTTTCCCACGAATTACCGATAGCTAAGTGATTGAAAATATAACTTGTTTAGTTCCTTCTTAATCGCAAAAGAGTTTCTTTAAACTGTACTATTCAACATCTTCCAATTCCGGCCGAACCATGCCTAAATTTTTTCGTCTCGTTTTTTTCCAATATCCTTTTAGTTTGTCACGCTATATCTCTTGAAATTAATTTACGCTGTCGATATAAAAACAAAAGAGTTCCTTATCAAAATGTCCGTAAAGCCTTCCATAAGCTAATTTGATTAGAAACTCTGGAAAGGAAGCTAGCCAAAGTAATCCTTTCGAGACGCTGGATGTGCAGCTTCACCTGCGATGTTTCAATTTAATTGAAGAAGGATATAACTCCGGTATAGCGCACTTTAATTCAAATAAAAGACTTCACCGTTGATAATTTTAGAACGTTTACGAAGGGAACTTCTATGGTTCACTATAAAGTTTGACTCGCTGACAACAAAATTTTCCTTTCAAATACATGTATATTGCTGCTGAAGGAGTGCACTAGTCAACGAGCTCTTCAATCGTGTTCGAGATGTCATAAATGTCTGGCTAGTTAACTTGCAAGCTCGTTTTACAGCCGTGAAACAGCTTAACGAACCACAAGTCTCGAAACGGCAAATGCTCCCGAAGAAAAAATGAAATGATATAACTGTAATGAAGTGAAACCGTGATAGTGCGCAAGTATATATAATACTACTGAAAAATGCATCTTATTAAAAATATACCCAGACAAAATGCATAAAAGAATTGTAAGAAATATACAACTTTTTTGAAAGACATGTTTCGGCATGCATATGCCATCTTCAGTCAATGAGTAACTGAGTGTGAACAATTATATAGTATACAAGTAGATGAATAAATTATTTACAATATGATGTAATACAAAAGCGGGTACTAATTACAACGTGACACCAAAACATCAAAGGTGTAAACTAGAACGCTAGAAAAGTGTGGTAATGTTGTAATTGTTTGTTAAGTTCAGATTTGATCTTATTTATATAAAAAGCTTCTTTGAGTTTTAAATCAATTGAGTTGTTAGCAGAATCTAGAATACTAAAACAAGAAGGGGAATATTGGAACAAATGTAATTAGCTTTGAATTTTTAATTTTTTGATGTCTCGTTAAACAAAGGAGTTCAAGCCTTCCACTTTTTTTTATAATCATGACAGACATATTTTTCCAATTCATTCTAGATTTTGAAGAATTGGTAAACGTCCTGTTCATAACACCTGTTTAGGTTGAAAATAAAATATTCTAGTATTTTTCTTCTTGATCCCATATTATGATTTATAGTCAGTTCCGATTTTTGATGTTTTTACCAAATACGTTTGATGACAGTCTTCATTTCCCTTTAAGTCATTCACAAATTGGCAATAACAGTTTCTCATATGGTGCCCGGGGGAGGGGTGGGGGGACTGTATCTAAGGGGGGTCTCTCGCTCCACCGCTATTCAGGATTTGAAATCATCTTGGTATGCTCATAAATTCTAACAAGATACGGCTGTAGTAACACTCTCCCCTCTGCCTATTTGAAATATGCTGCCAACGTCCTTGATGGTAAATTAACACAGCATATAAGCTGTGAAATATCTAGTGACACGTAGCTAACAGACCATAATTTGTTTACACCATAATCCTTTAACTCCTTTGAGTGAGCAAGAAAAAAATGTCTCCTTACAGCATCATCACACTTTAATGCAGACAAGTGATGAGGATAAAGAAAAATATCATTGGGAGATTACTAGTTGATCCAATGCAAAATTCTCCCAACTGACATCATACGAATTGTATGGCAAACAGTAGGAAGAATTGCTAACAGGATTTTGGTAGTGAAAGGGTACATGAGTAACCAGTGGCTTGTAATGTCGTCATGTTAGAGCATGATGCTGTTCTTCACACGGAGGATACAGCTGCAATGTCTTCTGAGGGGGTTTGTTACGGTGTCACGCATTTCACGCATTGCAAGCAAAATGAAACTGAGTATAACAGCTCTAAATAAACTCACCGATTAAAACAAGCAAAGGCTCTTGACTCAAATCTCGTGATCGAACTCAGTTTTCCCTGGCAATGGGAGGAAGAAAATCTGTTCAACTGTTCAAAGACAATGAGTAGTAAGGTCTAGCGTCTGCTGTATAAAACAAGATAAAAAAGGGTTTCAGTTTTTCACGTTCAAATCCATCATCAATAACTAAAGTTAGACATGCAAAACCGAAATACATCTACTGAGATTGAGCCAAGAAAATATTAGCTAGATTTTTGAAACATCCATATCTTTGCCAACCTTCCTTCCGGTGATAGAGAAAAATATATATCTTCATTCCTTCATTTTATTTGAGTTTCATTTTTCCGACACCAAATTCAGGACTCATTCAGGGGTTGACTCGAAAGTAAAACATGTGATGGCTGACTTTGAGGAGTTAAGGTCGGAGCACAGAAGGTAGCTGAAAAGAATTCATTTTAACGGGAGTTCATAGTGTGCAATTTAACAGGTTGAATTCATTTCTTATTATGAACGAAATTAAAAATGTTTAAAATGACCTGGTTGCATGCAGTTTTATTTTCATTTACAAATATATCTTCTTTTCCAGCTCTTTTTATAGATGTTATACAACATGGCTGGCAGCGCCCATGGAAAATATATAAAGGGAATCCTGTATTCTGACTGGCTACTCAAGCGGGAAAGATGGGCCCATATTGCCCGCTCGGGCAATAAGACGAGCTGACTCACAAAATTCGTAACTTTGGACAATGTTGGCAATAAATTCGCAAAAACCGCCATAAGACAGTCAAAATAAAGAAAACATAAACGACGCTCTTAAGTTTATTGTGCTACAAACACAGTTGACTTTCTTTTTCGGCTCTCTAAATCAACAAGTCATTCTTGAATCTCATTAAAGCGAAATCTTTTTGCTATATAATAAATCCTTTCTTGACCAAGCTTGTTTGGTAAGATGGCGTTGTGACAAGGTAAAAATAGGTTTCAGTTTTCACGCTCAGATCCGTCATGAACAACCAAATTTAGACGTACAAAACCGAAATACATCTACTGAGATGGACCAACCAAGAATGTGGCTAAATATCTTTACACCTTTGCTTACCTTCCTTCCAGAAATATAAAAATTAAAAAACATCCATTCCCTTGTTTCACTTGAATTCCTCTTTTTCGACACCAAATATAGAATTCAAGACACATTTAGGGGTTGCCTCTACAGCACAGTATGCAATGATTCACTTTGAAGAGGTTGGATTAGAATGATACTGAAAAGAACACATTTTGACGGGAGCTGATAGTATGCAATTTAACGGGTCCAAAAAATTTCTGATTCTGAATTGAATTGAAAATGTTTGACAAGACCACGCTGTCTGATTTTCTTTTCATATATAAGGTATTTTCCAGTTCTTATCACAAATGCCGTTGCTGTAATTACGACCAGAAAATGATTGAAATATGGTGCTCGTTTAGTATGGACTCTTCTTTTCCTTTAGATCCACTTCTGATCACCCTAAGATGAATTTTTGATCTGGCTGTCTATCTTTTCGTAAGGAATCATCGTGATCCTAGATCAGTAATCCAATCCTAGATCCTTAGCGATATAAACTAAAATAATAAACTCTTCGTGACATACAGTAACGCTGTCACGCAGCACGCACAAGGAAAATGAAACTGAGTATATCAGCTCTGAATACACCCACGGACTAAAGTAAACAAAGGTTCTTGACTCAAATCTCCTCAGATCGAGGTCAGCTTTCCCTGGCAATAGGAGAAAAAGAAGCTTTATGATAATGTACTTGATGATAAGGATATTCACCTTTCAAATAACGCAAAGGTTAGGATTTCATCAATTTTTGTCACGCTATTTAAACTCTTAAAGTAAAAA